TAGGATTAATAGTTCATGAACTAAACAACCTTTTAATACTTTAATTTTTTAAATAAGTTAATATGTAAAAATAAATAGACATCAAGTTTTATATTTTAATTTAGTGACAACCAAAACCTTGCAATATCTTTTAATTAACTTTAGCGTATGTACATTCATAAATTCCTCCGCTTCATAATTTGGCTTACTGTCTCAAATTCATTTTGCAAATGTTTTTTATTTAAATTTAAGTTCTCCTTTTGATGAATCTATTTGTACTCAGTTTACTTTTTCGAATTTGATCGAACTTCATAATTCCGAAACATAATATTTGCTCTTAGATACGCTTCTCTTATCCTTTTTTATTCTTTCATCATGAACCTGTATTTGATAGAATTATTTCACAGCGTATGTTTGATATTTGTTTCATTATAAAAAGGTGTTGGTTTGATCTTTTGTTTTAAAATAAACTCTCAGCATTTTTTGCAGTATTGCTGGTTTATAAGTGAGTTTTTCCTTATAGTCAACCTTATTCACTTGCGTGGTGGCGGTAAAATCGCAGATTCCTGACCATTCTCCTCAATTTCTCACACATCGTTCAAAGTGAAGTACTTGAATCAAATTAAGTGGTTGGATTCAAATTTTGAACGCTCTTGCTTTCGGTCTATAATATCAAAACCACGATTTCTATCCGGGAGGGAAGATTTTATTTCAATGGTAAGGCGATCAATGATTTTATATGTATTTTTTATCAGATATGGGAAAAGTTGTCTCTGCTTTTCAATCAATTATTTTTATTTCCACAAAAGTGAATCGCTTTATAAATATAATTACTTGACGCTTTATATTTAATACATTTTTTTATTTATAGAATGAACATCACTGAATTACCTTGGAGATCTACAACTCATTCTCCAATGTAATTTCACCCGAAATTGTTTAAGTAAAATTATCCTTATGTCTAAATCCTATTTTAAAATCACTTTTTGCGTTAATAATCCAGTCTGCGAAAACTGCAAGCGCCACGACAGTAACGGAATCAGAAATCGATCAGACGAAAATGAAGGTATTAAGTGACGTGTTTAAGAGGAGGAAGGGGAGGTTAGTATCTGTAAATTTAAATAGGTTTGCTAATTGACTACCTTAAATCTGCTGGGGGCATGTGCATGCAATGACGTGTCCCACATCTATATGGTTCGGCAGATATTAGCAAAATTCGCCTTCAACGTTTAAATTCAATTAATCAAATAAGTATTTTCTAAGGCATTTATTATTTTAATAATTTTTCTTCACACTTTTCATATTGTTTAATTTTGGCAATATTTCTTCGAAAAATGGGATGTGTGATAGACTTACCTCCACGTGGTGCACCCTGGGCAACGTATACTCATACGGCAAAGTCTATTAATTAGCCGTTGACTTTTGACTTCAAACTACCATGACCCCACTCTATGTCATATTCGACCCCTTTCACAGTACTCATCTTACCTTTTCTCTGCCTTTGTGTCTATCTGTCAGTCTGTCTCTTTTACATTTGTGAATCATTATTCTTCCCCCTTTCGACTTTGTGCCGCTTTAATGTTCCTCTTCCTCTTTGTGATGCCTGAAGTCAGCTAAAGGGCTAATAATAAGTATCAAAACATCTGCCGTATGGAATAAATAAATGAATAATTATTGGTCATTTTATTTTTCTCTGAAACTGAGATTATTTGGAGTGAGAAAACATTAAATTAACAAGTGTGATCAGTCAAATCACTTAAAAAATTTCGATTCAAAGTACCTTGTGAACCGTTGACCTTGCTCCATCAACAATGGTATTGCATGATGTGAGATATTCTATGAGCACTTAATGAAATACCTTTCCCAAGTTGATTGGCAATAATTTCGGTCAACTTAAAATTTATTCAGAAATTGTTTGCAGCATATTTGAGCCATATTCAAGTGCTTACCACTTTGGCATTAGAACTTAATGTCAAGTGTATTTTGGGGGCACAAATATTAGGCAATTAAGGTAGAAATCAACTTCAAAGTGGCATCTGTTTTTACAAGGATAATGCCAAATTATTATATCACTTCCCCAGTTAATATATACGCGCTTAAACCACTATTGGCCAACTTGTTTAGAGAGCTTTATTATGCTGGATAGAAGGAGGATGTGTGTGGGGGAGGGGAGGCCATATTCAAACCAGAAGCGCAATAAGAAACCAACTAATCTGGAAAGAGACTCTTTCATGTTCTAGTAAGGATTTGTGAATTAAATCTGGGATGCACAGGGTATATATAAAGGGAGAGAATAAGGACCTTTCTATATCGATGAAGTTACACAAAAATAATATTTACCAAACTTCGAGAGTTAACATAGAGAATCGGAAGTTGAGAACGCTTATTGTCGCGTTTGGTACACATTAATAACAATTTAAAGTCATTGAAAGTCCTTCTGGGAGAAATTGACCTGCCTATGAGATCTAGACTCATCATAGTGGCACTATTCCTCAATTCTAACAAACACGAATTTTGAATTAAGCATTCACATAACGATCTATTTGGGAAGAAGGAAACTAAGTCCAAACAAGAGCACCATTATTTAGTTTTGGTTTTCGGACGCATTGAGTTATCAAAATTCTCAACAATAACGTCCAAATTTTGAGTTTTTTTCGACCATGCTCCCAGCACAATAACTTTAAAATTGCAATAATGGCAAGACGATTATGAGACCGAATTCACGAGACGTTATAGATCACTCCAAGCGCCATTTGTGGACAGAATGGCATGCAGGTTCTGAAAGTAGTAAAGCCGCTACAAGAGCCATCCCGGGGGACCAAACAAAATGGGGTAGGCCATGGAAAAATAGACAGCATTTCAGCATTTATTATGAAGATCCACAAAATAGGACAAGAGTAGGAAATCGACAGTTTGGAATTTGCGAAATAGGATTAGATGCAGGGTTTCAACAAAATTTGCCAATGGCAAGGGGGTGATTTAGAGATAGAGAACAAAGGGCAAATAAGACGTTTTTATAGAGAGGCTTTGGCTTCAACAAGACAGGAGAATTGAGGAAGAGGATAAGAAGCATGCACATGTAAGAAGAAGCAGTCATTTTGTAAGTAGACCTTTCATTACCTGGACTCTTATTTATGTACAGATATGGTCAGGGACAGGAGAGGTGAAGATTGGTGTGGAGTGTTAGAATTAGGCCATTTTTCTTCCACCCCGATTGTATGCTCTCTCTCTCTCTCTTTTCTGTCTACCATAGCACGCATTTATTTGGTGGGTTCATCGGGGATCCTTTTGGACAAGAAAAGGCGTCAGAGAATTCTTGTGAGTTGGACAGCGTTCCGATAACCCTGAAACCAAAAGCATTCACTTGAGACAATCCGGGCCATACACTTATCAAAAGAAAATAGCACATTCCTAAATGCTCTGAGCCTAGTCAAAAACTAGGTAACTTAAATCTAAGTTAGGCTTCACAAATTTTTTCTTGAATTATCGGAGAATTCTGCTATGGAATTATTTGCATTATCATTTAAGAAACCATTTTTGAGTCTGTCGGCACAATTTATAATAAACAAAATTGATTTTCGGAGTGTGCGATAGACTTACCTCTACGTGGTGCACCCTGGGCAACGTATACACGGCAAAAGAGTCCGTGGTGCACCCTGGGCAACGTATTCTCATACGGCAAAAAGTCTATTAACTGGCAGTTGACTCCTGACTTTAAACTACCCTCTAAGCGGCAGTTGACTTCTCACTTCAAACTACCATCACCCGCACTGGCAGTTGACTTCT